ACATATAACCTCCTCCCTGGGGGATGGACAACAGAAAAGTGGGTGAAGGGAGACGTCGGACAGGTCAAGATATGACAAAATAATAATTTATAAATTATCATGAGTTTATGAGGGAGCGGGGAGGGAGGGGGAAAATGAGGAACTGATGCCAGGGGCTTAGGGGGTGAGCAAATGTTTTGAGAATGATGAAGACAATGAATGTACAAATGTGCTTTACACAATTTATGTATGTATGGATTGTGATAAGAATTGTATGAGCCCCTAATAAAATGATTTTTAAAAAAGAGGGGCAGGAAAGGAAAAGTACCTCCTGGCCTAAAGACTCGCAATTACAAAGACTCCTAGGCAAGATTGCTCCTGAAATGTTCAAAGGAAGAAGAGGCAGCATGTGGCTGGAAAGGCGCGAAAGGAGGAGAGGATTTTGAAATGCTATACGGAGTGGTTTTGAATGCCAGATAATTGGTTGCCTTGTAGGTCATATTGGCATTCTCTCATCTATCTTAAAACATATGGAAGATAGCAACCTCGTCAACTGAACAGAAGGGACCCATATTTGTGTACATTCTAAAGAAGGATGATGCAACTGAAGCAGAAACTACCCAACAATAATATCACACCCAAAGTAACTTTTGTTGAAGAGAATTCGAGTATATTGGTGAGGAGATACCAGAAATGGAAGCAGGATTCAGAAAAGGACATGCTGCAAGGGATATCATTGCTGATATCGGTTGGATCTTGGCTGAAAGCAAAGAATACGAGAAAGATGTTTATTTGTGTTCTATTGACTATACAAAGGTATTCAACTCTGTGAATCATTAAAAACAAAGAAAGAAACAAAACTATGGATACCATTGGAATGCATGTGAATTCCAGAACATTTAATTCAGCTCGTGTGTAACCTACACATAAGATGACAGAGTTGTCCAAAGAGTACAGGGGACTCCTGCAGGGTTTCAAATCAGGAAAGGTGTGTGTGTCGGGGTTGTAGCTTTTCACCATGTTTATTCAATCCACATGCTGAGCAAGTACTCTGAAAATCTGGACTATCTCAAAAGGAACCAAGTATAGCAATTTAAGGAAGACTTATTAACAACCTGTGATATGCAAATGACAAAACATGGCTTGCTGAACGTGAGTTAGACTTGAAGGAGTTAGGGATGAAGAGTTCAGTCAACAACCTTCACCATGGATCACACCTCATTCTACAGAAAACAGAAATTGTCATCACCAGACCAATACAAAACGTCACGATCAGACCTTTTAGAAGTGTTCAAAAAAAGTATTAAAAAGCAAAGATGTCACTTTGGAGCTAAGGCCATGGTATTTTCTTGTATCATGTGACTCATGGTATTTTCTTATCTAACTCAATCAGCAAGGTGGGCACGGGCTCCTTGCACTTATTTTCCAACCATGAACAGTGCTGTCTGTGACTTCTAAAGGACCATTCAATCTGGTTGGTCTGTGTGGAATGGTGTTGGGAGGTGCCACCCAGGCAGTGTGAGTCCTAATGGCCTTATGTCCAACAGAATCAAACAATGCCTTGTCCTAAGCCATTCTCACCATGCTTATGTTTCAGCCCACCATTGCAGCCATGGCGTCAATCCACATTGTTGAGGGTCTTTCTCTTTTGTCCTGCTGGTCTACTTTGCCCAGCGCAAGGTCCTTTTCTCTCCTGATAATAAGTGCAAAGTACAGTGAACCCTCGCCACTTCGCGCTTCGACTTCCGCGGCTTTACTCGATCGCGGTTTTTTGCGTAACAGCGCATGCTCTGTCATTACTGCCACTGATTGGCTCATACTGTACACGCTTCTGTCTGCATCGCTACGTATGGGAGCTACGTATCAGATGCATTTTTGCTTTTGTACAGTGTACTGTAATTGTTTGAGATTTTTAAGAAATTTTATCTAAGCCCTATGATGGCTCCTAAACGAGCTGCTTCTTCTCAGCCTTCTGACAATAAAAATAAGCGCCAGAGGAAGATGCTCACCATCCAGGAAAAGGTAAAACTTTTGGATATGATCAAAGATGGCAAGAAAATCGTGGAGGTTGCACGCCATTTCGACTTGAATGAGTCGTCCGTTCCCTCCATCTGTAAAGAGGAAGAAAACATCCGAGCTACGGCTACTTTCACTTTCAACAAGGAAGCAAAGCGTATCGTGACAAGGAATCCTACTTCGCGGAATTTCATTTATCACGGTAGGGGCTAGAACCGATTAACCGCGATAAACGAGGGTTCACTGTACTTGCGGCAGAATCTCACCACATTTTTGTTTGTTCTATTTTGGTAGCCCAAGGTGCTTTGAATATTTTTTGCCAACACCAAAATTCAAATACTTGATTCTTCGTCAGTCTTCTTATTTAATGTCCAACTTTTACATGCATATAAGGCGATTGAAAATGCTATGGCTTGCTGGGAAATGCAAATCAAAACAACCATGAGATACTACCTCACACCCATTACTGCAGCAAAGTTGAAAAAAATTGAGAGTAACAAATGTTGGAGGGAGGTGATTTTATAGGAACTCATATCCACTGTTGGTGGACTTGTAAACACATACAGCCACTGTGGAAGGAGATACAGTATGGTGATGCCTAAACCAGAGGGAAACTGAACGACTATATGATTCAGCAATACCATTACTGGGCATCTACCCAAATGATATAAGAAACAGATCACCAACAGATATTTGCTCCCCCGTGTTCATAGCACCACAGTTCACAATAGCAAGAAGCTGGAAACAGCCTAAATTCCCATCAAAAGAAGAGTGGATTAAAAAAAACCAACTCTGGTACACACACACACAAGGGGACACTGCACATCCCGTAAAAACAGTGATGAAACACCACAACTCATGGAGGGATCTGGAAGACACTTTGCTGAGTGAAGTTCGTCGAGCACCAAAGTTCAAATACTGAATGAGTCCACCGAGGTAGGAACACGCAGCAGAACAGACACACGCTCAAGCCTGCGGGCCATCCTGTCTTTGGGCAGGGGACCAGACAGCCTGGTAACGAGGCAGACCAGTGCCAATGTGCCACACACCATCTGCTTTAGGTAAGTATAGTGTAGGCCACTTGGCCGGGGAGGGTACCCCACAACTGCTGGGATCCGATGGAGAGGGAGCATGCTGTCTGCTGAGTGGTAGCCATGTGGATCTGGGGTGCGGTCTCCCAGAGAGGGAGGCGGCCCTGTTTACTGGGATGAGGTTTACTGATGGGAGGGACAATGTGGAAGTGGAGAGAGGGGTTGGTCAAGTTTGAGGGGGAACATCAGGTGCGTGTCTGTGTAGGGGAGGAGAGGGAGGGGCTAACATTCAGGGGCGGAGAGGAGAGACTGGGGGTGCTTTAGGGAACATTGTGTGAAGAGGGTCTTTAGTGGCATGCAGAGGGTGGGCAGAATTGATCTAGGACATGTGGGGGTATCCCAGGAACCCGGGCCGGGTGCTGTAGAGCCCTGGAACACTGAACTCTGCGTCTTTTGGGTGCATAGAATGCTCCAGAAGCTGACTCGGTGGGATCTCATATGGGAACTCCACCGGATGGACTGGACGCTACACTTGAAACCCGAGGACTTAAGCCGGAAAACACATGTATCTGAGGAAACGGAAGACAGCTGTACCCAGAGCGATATCCTTTTGGTTGGAAGAAACACAAGATCTTGCTACATCAATGCCCTGGTGCCTTATTAAGAGACATACTGTTCGAGCAATCCTGGGATGGCCATTCTGTTACATTTTGCTTATGCTTGTGTAGATGAGGGTGAATGTATCTCAGAGGTGCATCACCATTGGGGTCACCCTCTCGAAGCTGTGTTATTTGTTTCTCTCTTTTTCTGTCCATGAAACTCAGGGACGTTGAGCCTCTAGGGAAAGAAAACATGAGGAAGAATTGGTGCATAATGATAATAATGGATCCAAGGTGTTATAGGGAATGCAGGGGGTGGGGGATGAGCACTAGGGAGGGAAAGGGGATTTCAGTAATAAATAAAGAAGGCGGGAGTGGGGGCGCACTAGAAATGCTTGTGAATGCACAACTCATTTTATTTTTTAAAATACTTTTATTGGGGACTCTTACATCTCTTATCACAATCCATACATTCATCCAGTGTGTCAAACACATTTGCACATATGCCGCCATCATCATTTTCAAAGCATTCTCTTCCCACTTGAGCCCCTGACATCAGCTCCCCATTTCTTCTCCCTTGTCCCATGCTTGCCCTCCCTCACAAACCCTTGATAAGATTATAATTTCCATATCTTAGATTGGTGAGGGCAACAGGTGTACATATGTGCTTGACTCAATGGATGTATGTATGGACTGTGATAAGAATTATATGAGCCCTCAATAAAATAATTAAAAAAAAAAGAATAATGAGGGTAACAAATGTACAAATGTGCTTTATACAATTGTTGTATGTATGGATTGTGATGAGTTGTATGAGCCCCCAATAAGATGACTTAAAAAAAATAATTTCTATATCTTACATTGTCCTCTGTCGCCCCTCACCCACTTTTCTATTGTTCGTCCCCCTGGGAGAAAGGTATAGGTTGATCCTTGTGATCCATTCCCCCTTTCTCCCCGACCCTCCCCTAATCCTCCTCGTATCTCTACTCTCATTGTTGGCCCTGAGGGGTTTATCTATCCTGGATTCCCTGTGTTGTGGGCTTTTATTTGTAGCAGTGTGCATGTTCTTTTCTATCTGATTTGTAAGGTAGCATTGAGGTCATGATAGTGGGGTGAATGAAGCACCAATGAACTAGAGGAAAGTTGTGTGTTTCATCGGTGCTATACTGCACCCTGACTGGCTCATCTCTTCCCTGTGACCCCTCTGTGAGAGGATGTCCAATTGTCTACAGATGAGCATTGGGTCTCCACTCCCTGTCCACCCCACCCATTCAACTTGGGTATTATTTTGTTCTGGGTCTTAGATGCCTGACACCTGATCCCATTGACACCTCATGATCACGCAGGCTGGTCTGCTTCTTCCAGGTGGGCTTTGCTGATTGTACAATTCTCCTTGGTATGATTGAATGACTGAACTATTCAATGGTATGATATGTAAATTGGGTACCAAGAAAACTGTTGGGGAAAAAGGAATACAGTCTAGAAAATGCTTGACTACAAATAAAAAAAATAAAGAAACCAAACTTGACCAATGGTGACCATAGGTGAAGAAGGGAGAGTATTTGCTTAGGGGGCATTGGGTTTATGTTAATGGTGGTGGAATAATCTACAAAAGGATATGGATACTGTTTGTATAACACAGAGAGAATAATCAATGGTACTGAATTCTACATGGAGAATTTGAATTGGACTTAGAGAATGTTTTGTTGTGTATATTTTTGCCACAAATAAAAATGAGTACAAGGAAGAAAATGTTCTAAAATTGATTGTGGTAATGATTGGATAACTTTTTTGGATAGGATTGAACTACTGAGTTGTATGATATATGGATTAAGTGCCAATAAAATAGTTTTTTAAAAAAGAAAATACTATGACTGGGATCAGGTACACCTTAGTTCTCAAAGTAACTTTCCTACTTTCCAACACTTTGAAGAGGTCTTGTGCAACAGATTTACCCAATGAAATGCGTCGTTTGATCTCCTGACTGCTGCTTCCATGATCATTTATGTTGGATCCTAGCAAGATAAAATCCTTGACAATTTCAACTTTTCCTCCATCTATCATTATGTTACCTATTGGTCCAGTTGTGAGGGCTTTTCTTTTCTTTGTATGAAGTTGTACCCCACACTGAAGGTTGCAATCCTTGATCTTCATCAGCAAGTGCTTCAAATCCTCCTCATTTTCAGCATGCAAGGCTGTGTCTTCTGCACACCGCAGGTTGATAATAAACCTTCCCTCCATCCCCATGTCAGCTTCTCGGATGATTTGCTCAGCATATGTAAGCATGAAGAGAAGATACAACCCTGATTTGAAACCATGCATCATTTCCTTGCTCTGTTCACACCACTGCCGCTTGATCCCTGTAAAACTTCCCCGTGACCACAATGAAGTGCTCTGGAATTCCCGTTTCTCTCAAGGCTGTCTGTGGGAAGCAGAGAACTGGAAGAGAGTGTATACAGATGGAGCCTTTATTCTCATCTATTAAGAAGCCTGGCAGGCTGGGTTTCTGGGGTGGAGGGAGGCCTTCACTCTTGTGAGTTGGAGGTGAGTCCCAATCAATCGCATTCTCATAATTAATGTTGTTCCCTGCTATAGTATCCCATCATAGTACTACCTTAAAGTTACCTCTGACAAGCACATGCTATGTAGCCGGCAGCTTTAACTATAGTAGCAGACATGTGCTATTGCTCTCTAGACTCTGAAGACAGCCACTACCCCTTACCTGCCCTGGGCACTGGTTTTAGGTTACTCCAAGAGTATACACGCCTTAGTTGGAAAGATATTCTCTCTCTCTGCACGGACCTGGCTCCTAAAGTCATAACTGTAAAGGTGAGCACTTGCATGCTTTATCTTGTCTGATGTCTCATTAATTTTATCCCTCAATTACACAATGCCCCTTGGACCTATTCCATTGTGGGGGCTGGTACCCCACAGCTATCCATAGTTTGTTATGACACACAGAGTAGAATGTCTTTGCGTAGCCAATGAAACACAAGTAAATATCCCTCTGGTATTCTCTGCTTTCAGTCAGCATCCATCTGACATCAACAGTGATATCCCTTGTTCCTCATCCTCTTCTGAACCCAGCTTGGATTTCGGGCAGCTCCCTGTCAATGGAGTGCTCCAATGCTGTGGAATGACCTCCAAGTGATATCAATGATATTGTTCTATAGTTTGAGCATTGTTGGGTCACTTTTCTTTGGAAAGGGCACAAGTATGGATCTCTTCCAGTTGGCCAGCTAACTGTCTTCCAAATTTTCTGGTAGAGACTAGTGAGTGCCTGCAGCGCTTCATTAGCTTGTTGAAACATTTCAATTGATCTTCTACCAATTCCTAGAGCTTTGTTTTTCGGCTAATGCTTTCAGTGCCAAGGGAAGGACGAAGTTCAAGAAGTGGTTGAATATGGACTAGGCCTTTTTGGTACAGGGACTCTGTTCTTTCCATCGTTGGGGGATGCTTCCTGGATCATTCACTATGTTCGCCCATAGAATCTTTTAATATTGCAACTATAGGCTTACTTTTTTCCCCTTGAGTTCTTTCGCTTTGAGATCTACCAAGCGTGTTCTTCCTCTGTAGGTCTTTGCACATTTCATTCAGCTATTTGGCTTTGTCTTCTCAAATTGCCCTTTGAAATTTTCTACTCAGCTCCTTGACGTCATAATTCCTTCCATTTGTCTTAGCTACCCTATGATTCAGAGCAAATTTCAGAGTCTCTTCTGGCATTCACGTTGATCTTTTCTTTCTTTCCTACCTTTAATGAGCTCTTGTTTTCTTCATGTATGATGTTCCTGATGTCATCCCACAGCTTATCAGATCTTCTGTCATTAGTGTCCAACGCATCACATATATTCTTGAAATGTTCTCAAAATTCAGGTGGGCTATACTAAAGGCCATATTTTGCCTCTGTGCATTTAACTTTCTTCAGCTTCTACCTGAACTTACATCTGTGCAATTGGTGATCTGTTCCACAGTGTGGTAGTTACAGAATTTCATGTCAACTTGATAAAAGAATGAAGGGGTGGAGTCTAGCCTGTCAATCAGGTCACAGCCTGATGATCCCTGCTTTGGGGCATGGTCTTCTCATGAGGATTCTGGGAACTTTCTCTAGCTCAGCAGTTCTCAACCTGGGGGTTGCAATCCCTTTAGGGGTCCAACAACCCTTTCACAGGGGTCACCTAATACCATATTTCTGATGGTCTTAGGAACGGAGACACCGCTCCTCTATCCGTCTCCAGGTGGGTCCACCCAATGCAGATATACCCACATGCGGGGTCACCACAACAGGAGGAACTGTATTAAAAGGTTGTGGCATTAGGAAAGTTGAGAACCAATGCTCTAGCTGCTACACATTCCTATTGACAAGCCACATGGAGCCAAGCTGATGGCAGCCAGAGCCCTGGAGATGCATCCATTGCAATTGGATCCACAGGAATTTCCACGCACTGGCCTGTGATCATCCTGTATTTGGCATCATTGCATGTGCTGCATGAGTCTGAAGAGGAATTCATGGGCTAATATCAGACTTATAGGCTAACATCAAACTTATGGACTTGATCTGGACTGCGCTGGGATGTTTTATTGATGCATAATTACTTATTGATATAAAGGTTTCTCTTACACAGCCATGAGTGTCGATGGAGTTGTGTCTCTAGTCAACCCGGTCTAACACACACAACCCTGCGTCTGGTTTTAGCTGTTGGTATTGAGTTTTTCCATAGCCTCTTCCCACAGATATAGTCAATTTTATTTCTTTGAATTCTGTCTGGAGAAATCCATGTGTATAGTCACCATCTGTGTTTGGAAAAAATTGTAATCAAGAAATCATTGCTCTTACAAAATACTATCCTGTTATCTCCAACTTCAGAAATTCTATCACCAAAGCCACATTTTCCAACTACTTTGGTTTAAAACTTTGCATAACAATCTTGAATAATTATCAATGCACCTTGATGGTGTGTTTGATCAATTTCAGACTGAAGTCATTGATTAAAAAACCTTCAGTGCCTTCATCACTAGTTTTAGTCCATAAATATGAATAGTAGTTTTGTGGACTGGATTTCCTTGTAGGCACTTAGTACAATCCCA